TCTTTGCTTTTAGATGTAGATGGACACAATATCTTTATTTTACTTGTTTGTTTTTATGTGGTCCTGAGGATCAAACCCAGTGCCTCACCTGCTAGGCAAGTGCTCTACCACTGAGCAACAATCCAAGTCCCTATCACTAATCTTTTTTTTTAATATTTATTTTTTAATTGTAGGTGGGCACAATATTTTATTCCTATGTGGTGCTTAGGATCGAACCCAGTGCCTCACGAATACTAAGCAAGCRCTCTACCTCTGAGCTACAACCCCAGCCCCCATCACTAATCTTATGTTCTGTAATATTAGATGTAATGATCTGCTATTAAGCCTGCTGGCTAAAAAATTCGCTTCAGATTCTCTATTTTTCATTTCCAAAAGTTCTGCTGGGTTTTCGTTTTTATTTATTGACTTTTTAAATCTTACTTGGTCTCCCCTGATTACATTTTCCTTTCAATACTTCAATGCTTTCCTGTCTTTTAAATACATCATCTGTGAGTATTCCAACTTTGTACTTATTTTTCATGGTTGTTTTTGTTGTTCTGGTTCTCTGCACTTCTACTGTCAATTTCTGCAAACAAGCTGCTAGGATTTTGTTAGAAATCAAACTGTAAGTCAATTTGAGTAGTACTGCCATCTCGACAATATTGTTTTCAGATCCATGAACACAGGGTATCTATTTACTTAGATATTTTAAAATTTCTTTCAACAATCTTTAAATTTTTATGATGCAAGTCATATTTCTTTTGTAAAATATATTCTTAAGTATGGATTTTTTTGATATTACTGTAAATGAAACTGTTACATAATTAAACAATTTCTTGCTAGTGTACAGAATCACAATTGACATATGAATATTGTTTTTATAATCCATGTACAAATTTTTAAAAATCAAACTATTCTAAAATATTTTTCTAAATGTTACACATTGTGTTGTATTAAAATTATACCACAAATTACAAGAAAAGTCAATTCTAATAAAAAATTACATGCCTGTAATCCCAGCCTCTTGGGAGGCTGAGACAGGAGGATCACAAGTTCAAAGCCAGCCTCAGCAACAGCAAGGCGCTAAGCAACTGAGACCCTGTCTCTAAACAAAATATAAAATAGGGATGGGGATGCGACTCAGTAGTTGAGTGCCCCTGGGTTCAATACCAGTACCAAAAAAAAAAAAAAAAAAAAAATCATCCCAGTAGAAGAAAAGAAGCTGATATTACATATTAATATAAAGACTTAGCCAGGTACACTGGCACACACCTATAATCCCTGCTATTCTAGAGAATGAGGCAAAAGGATCAGGGGCGGAGGGGAAAGCTGGGGATGTACATAAGAGAGAACATTCCTGAGTTCAATCCCCAATATAAAAGTGTCTCCCTACCCAGTCTTCATACCCTAGAACTGCTAAATTCAGATATAGCTAGAATCAAGAAAAGTTTTGGACTAGGGATGTAGTTCAGTAGTTGAGCACTTGCCTAGCATTGTGAAGACCTGGGTTTGGCCTCCAGAATGGGGATGAGGAAATTACTCGTTATACACTATTTTTTAATATACTAACAATGAACACATGGATGCTGAAATTAAAAATGCAATACCATTTACATAACTCTAAAAATGAGGTACAGTAATTAGATGTGAATCTATCAAAACATGTATAGGACTTACATGTTCATATTATACAATGCTAATGAAATATATCAAGCTGGTAGGTATACCACGATAATGGATTAGTAGATTCAATAAAGATGCTAATGTTCCTCAAATTGATATACAAGTTTATTATATAAAAATTCCTATAAGAAAATATAAATTATTCTAAAATTTACAAATAAAAGCAAAGAAGCTAGAAGAGCTAAACAGTTTTGAAAGTAATCAAGACTACTCAATTACCCAGCTATAGAAACCAAGACTGTGATGGGAATGAATGCATATGTAAATGTAATTTTAATGTAATTTTAATAAAGTTGCTAAGATTTTCAGAAGTAATAGAGTCATAGAAGACAACTGGGAAATGATTTGGGAAATCTGATTAATTCCACAGTATCAGTTAATAGACAATAATGGAAAAAGCAAGAGAAGCAACATTATAAGAACAGAAAATTAACATGTTTTAGATACAAAAGATGTAATGCCTTTCTCCCCATGCCAGAATAAGAAATTTTCCTATCTGAAAATTTAAATCTCCTTTATACCTATATTTTTAACAAACAAGTAGCATTTTAAATATTTGGCATTTGCTATCTACCCAATTTGAAACAAATGGAAAAAGTAACCAATTAACAACTATTTCACAAGAATTTTGAAACCCCAAAGCTCTGAAAAAGTAAAACACATCACACTTACTATGTCTGAATTACCCTGAATTCAAAATTAGCGTAATAGAAACCAATGCAGCTTTACTTCACAAAAGTCTTAAGACCTCCAGTTTCTTATGTTTCCGGTGGTAGTTTTAAATTTGGCATGCATAGTTAATTCCTTGAATTACTCATGAATTTTCTCCATTTCCACTGAACCATAAGATACTATGCCACTCTTTCTCCGTAAGTTGCTGAGGTCTGAAGCGGCTTCAAAACTTGCAAACCTCCTGGGGCTGGGGCTGGAGCTCAGTGGTAAAGCGCTTGCTTTGAATATGTGAGACACTGGGTTTGGTCCTCAGCACCACATAAAAATAAAGATCCTGTGTTCATCTACAACTAAAAAGTATTTAAAAAAAAAAAACAAAAAACTGCTTGCAATTCTGTTCCAGCCTCCTGATTAGCTGATTTTATGTGTGCACAGCATCCAACTAAAAAAGAGAAACATTTTAGTGTAAAAGAACTGATGAAGCAGATTCTGTTGTAAAACAACACTGTGCTGACTTTTGCTGTTATTTTCACTATGCAAAACCTGAACAGTTGCGGGTATGCTCAAGAGTTGGTACATGTACACAAAAAAGCCATGGACTCAATAACCAGGACCCTCAAAAAGGAAAAAAATAAAAATAAAAACTTTGAGAACAGCTTCAAGAACCAAGCATTTTCCAGAACATGGCAGTATTTTAAGTCCTTATTTGGTAGCTCAGCATCAAGAGTAAACCTTGATGCAGGTGCATGCCTGTAATCCCAGCGGCTCAGGAGGCTGAGGCAAGATGATCACCAGTTCAAAGCCAGTCTTAACAAATGCTAGGCACTAAGTAACTCAGTGAGATCCTGTCTCTACATAAAATACAAAACAGGGCTGGAGATGTGACTCAGTGGCTGAGTGCCCTCAAGTTTAATCCCTGGTACCCCCTCACCAAAAAAAAAAAAAAAAAGAGTAACCCTGCTTTAAGTAACTATTATCTCGATTCTTTGACAAAGCTACTCCAATTAGATTTTTTAAAAATGCTTTTAGGGGCTGGGGATGTGGCTCAAGCGGTAGCGCGCTCGCCTGGCATGCGTGTGGCCCGGGTTCGATCCTCAGCACCACATACAAACTAGGATGTTGTGTCCACCGAGAACTAAAAAAAAAATTAAATGCTTTTAGTTGTAGATGGACACAATACCTTTATTTTATTCATTTACATGTGGTGCAGAGGATTGAACCCAGTGCTTCATATGTGCTAGGCAAGCGCTCTACCATTGAGCTACAACCCTTGTCCTACTCCAATTAAATGTTGATGATCCGTTATGTTCTCACTACACATCAGTTTGTTCTAACTACACGTCAACAAGCAAATACTACAAGTATAATGTTGATAGTAAATTCATGTTAGAATTAGGTAACATAAAGCTTAGTGATTTAGAAGATACAGGCAAACTTAAGCTTTGACTTTGCCACATGTGGCATTAGGTGAAATTTTAACCTCTCCATGCCTCTGTTTCCCCTACCTACAGTGAGTATTATACCTTTACCTTCAAGTTGTAAAACTAAATCATGTGTAGAAAGCCTAAGATAGGGGCTGGGGATGTGGCTCAAGCGGTAGCACGCTCACCTGGCATGCGTGCGACCCGGGTTCGATCCTCAGCACCACATACAAACAAAGATGTTGTGTCCGCTGAAAACTAAAATAAATAAATAAATAAATAAAAAGAAAGAAAGCCTAAGATAGTGTTTGGTATATTACAAGCCCTCAATTAAGTTATTTGAGCTTTGGAACTAAACTAAAATTCTCTTGGTTATAGGTGCTACCCAGTTAGCTACTCAATTTCAGCCTTCTCCCAGACCTATCCTTTACCATTAGTGATTCCTAGGTAGCAACAAGATTCTCGGGTCTCCATGTTTGTCCTCAATTTACTCAGAACTTGCTTATCTTTTTAACACTTTGCTTGCCTTCACCCCTCCGCATTTTAAGGACATTCAGAACTTTTCACATTTTTCTACATCATTAAAAAATGAGGCTGTGGGGGCTGCAGTTGTGGCTCAGTAGTAGAGCACTTGCCTAGCATGTGTGAGGCACCGGGTTCAATTCTCAGCACCGCATATAAATGARTAAAGAAAATAAAAGGGTCCACCAACAACTAAAAAATATTTTTTAAAAAGGCGGGGGCTGGGATTGTGGCTCAGCGGTAGAGTGCTCACCTAGCACGGGCAGGACCCAGGTTCAATCCTCAGCACCACATAAAAAAAAATAAATAAAGACATTAAAAAAATAATGAGGCTGTGGTGTAGTGGCTCTGAAGTGGCAGAGCACTTGCCTAGCATTCACGAGGCCCTTGTTTAGATCCCAGCACTGCAAAAATAAAAAAAAAATAAAAAAAAAAAATCTGAGTTCAGGTTCTATCTCTAAAGGCCACTAAATCTTCATAATCCATAACTTGATAACTGTTTCAGCTTTATTAAGTGTTTAATGCTTACTTCCCAGATGTCATGACAATTTGTTATTATCACTATACTTCTGTATCAAACTAATACCTTGTATTATTATTTTATTTATAAAATTTACAGCCATTTTAAATTTCTGCTTCTTTACTTGACTTCCCCCAAACTTTTACCTCTTCCTCCTCCTTTCTAGCTTTTTAGCTCAGATTTTGTTTTCTCCTGTTATAATGCTTAATATGGAATGCTTCCATGAATTTGTGTGTCATCCTTATACAGGGGCCATGCTAATCTCTGTATCATTCCAATTTTAGCATATGAGCTGTCAAAGCAAGCACCCCCTTTACAAAACTTTTTAAACCTTTCAAGCAACCTATTCTTAAGCTTGTCAAAGAGACAAACATCTGCTTTCAATAAGTAAAGCCTATTCTTATCCATTCAGAACACCAATAAGAACACAAAATCATTTCATTGCAACACAGTGAAAGAGARTAAATAAGAAGGATTTTCAAGTGGCATCAGACAATAAATGACTTTTCTCCCTCTACTTTTGGCACTAAAGAATTTGGAGGATAATGGTTTACTAAAGAAATATCAAATGTGGGGGAAAGGAGACAGAAAAGGTACTAGCAAAAACTGAACGATTTTCTCTAATTCCTTACCAATATTTGACCTTCAATTGATACCGTTTTACTGTCTTTATCCTTCAGCTTTCCAGGACCTGTGTTCTCATACAACTACATCTAGAAGCTCCAAAATTTAGAGCCAGCCCTGCCTCTCGAAGAGTTGCAAATTAATATTAGTGTATACTCACTCCCATTATACATGGGAAATGAATCTCTTTTTCCCAACTTCCTTTTTCTTTTATTTGTTCTTTTTAGATACACATGACGGTAGAATGTATTTTTACAAATTATATATACATGGAATATAACTTCCCATTCTTGTGGATGTATATGATGCGGAGTTACACTGGTTGTGTATTCATTCATACATGAACATAGGAAAGTTATATCAGATTCATTCTATCTTTCCTATTCCCATCTCCCCTCCCTTCCCTTCATTCCCCTTTGTCTAATCCAATGAACTTCTGTTCTGCCCCCAACCCCCGCCTTTACTGTGTGTATATCAGAGAGAATACTGGACCTTTGGTTTGTTGGAACTGGCTTATTTCACTTAGCATGATAGTCTCCAGTTAACATCCATATACTGGCAAATGCCATAATTTCATTCTTCTTTATGGCTGAGTAATATTTCATTGTTTATATTGCCCACATTTTCTTTATCCATTCATCTGTTGAAGCGTACCTAGGTTGACTCCACAGCTTAGCTATTGTGAACTAAGCTGCTATAAACATCAATGTGTCTGTGTCACTATAGTATGTTGATTTTAACTTCTTTGGGTATATGCTAAGAAATGGGATAACTGAATGAGATGATGGTTCCATTTCAAGTTTTCAAGGAAAGATTCCARGGAATCTCCATACTGCTTTCCAGAGTGCTTACACCAATTTGCAATCCCATAAGCAATATATGAGTGTAGTTTTTCCCAACTTCTTATCTCTCCCAGAGGTCCCCGGCTTTTGTTACTGTTTTATTAATGAACTTTATATAGTGCATATTGTACATTAGATATGTTCCCAAGATTTTACAAACATTAACTCACTTCATCCTCATAGTACTCCTTAAGAGTTCTATGGATGACACTAAGGCACAAGGCTAAGCAAATAAATAGAAGCTCTTTTATGGATGAGACTAAGTCCTTTGGTTAATAACTTACCTGGGATACACAGCTAATAAGTAACAGGACTTGCATTTTAACTCCATAAGCTGACTCCAAAGCCCATGTTCATAGTTGCAAATGCTGCTTCTCCCTTCTTTTAATATTAAAACAAGTCTGTAGCTTATAGAATGCTCATAAAACAATTTAGAGAAAAGTTTTCCTTTCTTTACAAGACAAATCCTAAATTGTTTTATAGAAGATAAAATGAGAAAGTCAAAAAGATTTAAAGGAAAGAGCTGGAAGTAGGTGAGTTGGCACACTCCTGTAATCCCGGTTATAAGAGACTGAAGCAAGAATCACAAATTTGAGGCTAGCCTGTCTCAATTTTTTTTTTTTTTAAAGGTAGGGAGGCTATGGATGTAACTCAGTGATACAGCATTTGCCTAGCATAGCATGTGTGAGGCACTGTGTTCAATCCATAGTACCACATACATTAAAAGATAGATGGGTAGACAGGAAGATAGGAAGGAAAGAAAAGGGGTTGGAGAGTCATGAGGATCCAATCTATCATTACCAGTGCTACCACACCCTTTCACTTTACTAGTCCTTCTAAAACGCCCAAGTTAAAAAACATCATTTCTGGGTGGCTCAAGCGGTAGCGCGCTCGCCTGGCATGCGTGCAGCCCGGGTTCGATCCTCAGCACCACATACAAAGATGTTGTGTCCGCCAAAAACTGAAAGATAAATATTGAAATTCTCTCTCTCTCTCTCTAAAAAAAAAAAACACAAATAAATAAATAAAATTAAAAAAAAAAACATCATTTCTGAAGTCAACTTTTCTTCCAAATCTCTTAAAGGAAAGAAAGGCTCTCTTCCCTCATCCCAAAGACCTTACTGCTGGTACACATCACTTCTCCATACACAAAATTTATAAACCATCTCTTAAATTGTGATGATACAGCAACTACATTAGCCTATTGAGAGGAAAGAAAAATTACTATTAACAAACATAGTTTTATTTCTCTAATCCAAGGTTCTGTCTAGCATTTACACTACCAAAAGGTTGCTACAGAGCTAGGTACAATGGCACACTCCTGTAATCCCAGCAACCTGGAAGACTGAAGTAGGAGGGTCACAAGTTCAAGACCAGACTAGGCAATTTAGGGAGATTATTATCTCAAAAAAATATATTTTTTTAAAGTGGTAGAGTGCCCCTGGGTTCAATCCCCATTACCGTGTGTGTGTGTGTGTGTGTGTGTGTGTGTGTGTAAAATCACTACAGAATAGAATAAAAAAATAATACATTCCAATTTATATCCTCTGAGATTGGTTTTTAAAACTAATGGTTCAGTCACTACACCCGTAATCTCTTTATCCCATAACTTTCACCACAAACCTGCTGTCTCTTTTCTACTCTTTGTGCTAACAGGATGATGATGAAAGACAAATCTGACAAGTCCAGGCCCTTTTCCAACTCATTGATTTATATCAACTTCCCTCCAGTAATCTTACTTTACAAACCTAGAATAGGGAATTGTTTTTCCACATGATAGGGGTCTTAAACAGCTTTTAAAAACAAAACTATTTATATAAAAAAATTTAAAGTTAGCTTGATTCCTAATAAAACAGAATTATAACAATATTTTAGTCAGGTCGACAAAAAAACTGACAAAAACATCCACTTTCCAACGAGTTCTTTCTTAATGCTAAATAATAAAAAGAATTAGGATTTTAACCTAAATGTTTTAGCTATGATAAAATAAATGTTTTTATAAGTATTAATTTATTCTCAACTTTTATTTTCCATTAATTTGCTAGAAAAATTTATTTACTATTTCAATGCATTCCCTTTCAGTGACTTTTTTTGGTACCATCATTTCATATATTACCTTTTCATTTTGTGTTGGTCTTTCCTGTTGGATTATAAACTGAGTTAATAGGTACCAGTGTCTGTCTATTTGTCACCTTCTCCTAAAAGTATACATAACCATGAACAAAATGATTTTAAGCCTGTCATTAAGTTTTCCATCTTATACTTTAAAAGTTTACTTCTTGCTTTCAATTTCACAATCATTTGCTTTCATAATTTGTCTACATAATTTGGTAAGAGATGAGCAAATTTAAAGTTCTAAATCATCTCTGATTTGCCTTCCATTCCACCATTCATGATCTAGCCAGTCCTCAAATCTTCATTCAAAATAAACCATATAACAAGTCTTCTCCACTGCATGCCATCATTTCATGCTCAGATTACCAATGACCTCCAAAGCAGTCTTCCTGATACTTCTCCTTCTGTTTCATCCTGCATCCTCTCACCATGCTGAACATCCTAATAGTGTATAATGTATAATCTTGTTTAAACTTCTACTAAACAAGGCCCAAATTTCTTTGCCAGTTCTTCACAGCACTCTCCTCATCTGCATATTCAACCTGACTTCTCAGTACTCTCAGAGTATAGTATTCTATCAATTTCCCCACTGAAAATTCAGCTTCGTGGCGCACACCTATAATCCCAGCAAATTGGGAGGATGAGGCAGGAGAATCACAAGTTCAAAGCCAGCCTCAGCAACTTAATGAGGATCTAAGTAACTTAGTGAGACCATCTCAAAATAAATAAGGGCTGGAGAGATGGCTCAGTGGTTAAGTGCCCACAAGGTTTGAAATCAAATTGGCAACTTAGTGAGGCCCTTAGAAACACAGCAAGACCATGTCTCAAAATAAAAAATAAAAAGGGCTAGGAATGTGACTCTGTGGTTAAGTGCCTCTGGGTTCAATCCCTGGTACCAAAACTAAATAAAAATAAACAACTTATTGCTAAATCGAACCTAGAATGCTTTCTGTTTTTCTAAAAGGATACTAACAATACAATCAATCTTCTTCTCTCAGGCTTATCTCGTGACTAAACCATGTCATCAAACCTATTATTTAGAAACAAAATATGTATATACCATTGATTTTCAAACCTTTTGTTTTGTTCATGTACTCTCAAAATTATTGAGGATCCCAATAAGCTTTTGTTTGTGTGGGTTATGTCAATTTATGTTTTACCATATTAGAAATTACAACAAGAAAAAAAATTAAGTATTTGTTAACATACTTAAAAATAGTAAATTCAAGGGCTGGGGTTGTAGCTCAGCAGTAGATTAGTAAGTAGATTGCTTGCCTAGCACGGGCGGGGTGCTAGGTTCAATCCTCAGCACCACAGAAAAATAAAATAATGGTATTGTGTCCAACTACAACTAAGACAAAATATTTTTTWAAAAAAGTAAATTTAAGGATGAACATGGTAGTACATACCTGTAATCCCTGCTATTTGGGAGGCTGATACAGGACTGCCAAATTCAAGGCTGGCCTCAGCAAGACCCTGTTTCAAAAATAAAAGGGCTGGCAGGGCTAAGGTTATAGCTCAGTGATGAGTTCAATCCTCAGCATCACATAAACATAAATAAATAAGTAAAATAAAGGTATGGGGGGGGCGCTAGGAATGTTCCTCAGTGGTATAATGCTTACCTAATGTGTGTGAAGCTCTGGGTTTGATCTCCAGTACTTCAAATAAGAAAGAAAATAAATACAGAAATCTGCATGTTAACATAAAGATTTTATTTAAAAAACCCA